AAACATCAAGTCTGACCGTTCCACGGAGTCTGTCTGTCTGTTCCACGGAGTCCGTCTTTCGACCCCAAACCCAGAACTCGTGCCTCCTTGCAAGACATTCCGCAGGCATTCCGTAGACCAGGACTTAACATGTTGACCCGTTCAAATGAAAGAAACCGTCGGGTCAAAGCATGAAAGAAACCGCGGTCCTGCAGCTTCAGCGCGCTCCCAGCAAAAGCTGCGGCCTCCTACAGTGGACTCCCAGACCTGATCATTGTGGAGGATTGGAGTGGATTGTCAGGAACAATCTAATTAGTAACAAAGGGCATCGCTACTAGGAACAAGGACGCTACGAACGGGGCTCCTGGCCTTACTTCTAGTAACAAGAAGCTACTAGGAACAAAGGGCATCGCTACGACTGCAAGGACGCTCTCAGGAAGGGCGGATCGGTGGAACCAACATGGGCTTCGCTGTATGGTCCGTCTGGTGCTGACCTCGGAAGCAGGTCAGCCACTCTGAGAACTCGGATGCGCCAGGCCACTGCATGATGCAGCAGCTTGTTCGGTGTGACACTTGACCTGTGCATGCTGCATGTTTTTGCGAACAGCGGCCCTTTTTCTTAGCACACTTTAAGGTGTAGGACACACGTCCCCCCAAAAGGAGCCCTGTTGGTTTGCGCCATTGTTGGTTGTATAAGTGCACAGCAGGGTGACGCATCAAACGCAGCATCGCTGGAACTTGCCACACTCAGGAATTAGCATGATTCTAAGAAAACCCGGAATCGTTTCAGGCACCGGCAAATGCCGCCAAAAGGAGACAAGACAAACTTTCCATGCGAGACCGCCAGACCTGGCGGCCGCGTTGGCCTTCACTTCATCGAAAAGAGCTCTCGGAAGCCATATCATTGGTAATCCAAAGACTCCATGTATGCCATATATGCCTACATTGACCCCCAAAACCACCCCAATGTAGGCATATCTGGCATACATGGAGTGTCTGGGTAGGGTTTTAATAAATGGCACAAGGGCCCCCAAAAGGTGGTTGCGGACTCCGGGACCCCCAGAACCCACTGACATGGACCGGGTGGCAGTGCCATCTACTCTGAACCCACTGTAGGTGGTAGTCCACGAAATGTCTGCTCTCATGTCCTCTCCAAATGGCTCTAACTCCTGGCTGAACTGCTTTGAGATCTGCTGCAACTGCAACCTTCCTGGTTTGCTGTGCGCTCGGGTGCTGTCTGAAGACCACCTCTCTTGTCGAGAGACGCTGCCAGAACTCCTCAGTTTCAGCAACAAATCTTGCCCCTGAATGGGCTCTGTGCAACTTCCTCTACTCCCAAAATCGTCACTGCAAGGTGCCATGACGAACTCCCAGCCACGGCACTCTTTTGTCATCCAGGATGAATGTCTCGCTCTAAACCACCTGCCTTGCTTGCAATGCCCCGTCCATGCCTGTCCAAAAGTCTCGTTCTTTGGCACAGTGTCGGCTGGGAATATCTGGAGAAGCACCCCTGGCCGTGCATAAGTGCCGAAGGTGCAAAGGACTTCCTTGGAGTGCAAGTGGCGAAGAAGCAGGCCACGTACAAAACCGGCTTGCAGCTAAGGCGGAAAAAAGCAAGAACAAGGATGTCAAAGGCACTTTTAAAGGCCAAGTTGGTCCTTGGATGAGGTTTGGAGATGTTCTTCCCCTGCCCTTGCCTGTCCCTTGCTCAGCCGGGCCCCCGAACTGCCCTCTTCAAAGGAGATTCCATGGGCCTCAGTGGCACAATCCGGTGGACTGGTCCATCATCTACCAGGTGGTGGTGGGATCAAAGATTCAGAGGTCACTCCACCTGCAAATGTGAAGAACCAGTGGATAAATTTGTCTGACATAGAGTTTGAACTATGATTTTGCTTTGATGCCCTTCATGTTTTTGTTTCTTTTTGCGTCCTGCACCCTCATGAGCGCACACACACACACACACATCACTGAAAAACAGAAAAAACACAGCACCTCACAGCACCTCGCGTTTCCGACTTGACTGGAAGGGACCCACCTCATTGCTCCAACCGGGCCCTTCCTTTTTCCTCTGCAAAGTCCTCGGGCCGCGAGGCGTAGCGCACGGCACCGGCGTCAGCGCCCAAACCATGGCAGGGGTCGCCGAAGGCCAAGTGCCGGGTCCAAAGTTCATGGAGCTCCTGGGCGGTGCCGGCTACGCTCGGAAACAGGGCTTTTGCGTGGATGGCATAGCCCCGATCTGGGATGACCAGTGTCCTCTACAAACAGGTGGTGCGCTCCATTTCCATGAATTTTTCAAGGGTCGTGGAGGGATGTAACGCTACTTTACTTCGAGCGATCCCGCATGCATTTCAAGGCTTTGTTTTGGTACCAAATGACGGCCACATGGCTACATTATGCTACATTGCTATTGCTCCAACGTCGCCAAGCAAGCGTCTATCTTGCATAAATACTGGCATTCTATCTGGCACATATTCTGGCTGGCATATACTCCGGCATTCCTATTTTGGCATATGTTCTGCCATTTTTGCCAGCATGTGCTCTGACATTCTTTCTGGCAATCTATTTGCCATCTCTTCTGGTGTTCTTTCTGGGCTTCTATCTCGTTCAGGTCCGCCTACTGCGATCTGGAGCTCATGGTCTGGCACTCCAACTGGCATGTTTTTTGGCATTCTATCTGGAATATATTCTGGCATATTTTCTTACATTCTTTATGGCATTTATTCTGACATTCTTTGAGAACGAGTTGCCAATTTTTTTTCTGGACTTCGATCTGGTTCAGGTTCGGTGGTGCCCACTGCACCCTGCAGCTCGCAGCGAAGGAAGAAGGAGGAGGAGGCGGAGAAAAAGGATGAGGAAAAGGATGAATATATAGGAGGAAAAATTGACAGCTGTGACACAATCTATATAACAACCCTCACCTAGCACGTGGGGGAAAATTGCCTCCTGCAGGCCCAACTTAGCTTCATGTTAGCTCGAGACGATCAACTACTTCCATCAGATTCAAAAATGATTTCATGTGGCATGTGGGGTTCACCGCACTATGCCCCTATGGGGGCTCATTTTGGACTTGAAACAAAAGTGATCTCAAGTGCTTGACTGATCTCGATTGCAAACAACAAATTCAGAGCTGGGGGCTAAGGAGAAGGCTGTTATCTCGGGAAAGTGCAACATGTCATAGAAGAGGTCACCTGCCATAATAGGTACGATACCCAATTCTTGCGGAACCTGCCAGAAGGCGTGGAACGTGACCTTGCCATTGCATTACCTTAAAAGGTCGTCTACCAAAACTTCATTCTTCTAGATATTAAGACTTCATTATTGACTTCACATGTGTTCACCCTCTTAGAATCTCGTTCTCAAGTGGCTGTAGGCATGGTCGGTCGCAAAGAAATAGAATATAGATGAAGATATATAAATATATATGGTGGTTGATAGCCTGGAATGGCCTTTCTTCGCGGAAAAAAACTATCTTTCGCGGCCTCATCGCGAAGCATGGTCCTACAACCATGTCTAGAGTCTAGCTAACATGAGCCGGAACATGTCATAGTATTACAAAATAGGGACACACATCTTGCAGCATGACCCCAGTAGAAGGTTGAACGTTTCCACAGCTACTCAGGGTCACTTGCGGCATCTGTGCGACAATTGTGCAAAGCAGAATCAGGCGCAGCTCATCCCAATTTTCGTGCTAGCTACCAACACAGGGTGATGCAGTTTGGGAAATGTTGGGGGCCTCAAGCTGGGAACCTGGACTTTAGCGGCGCATCGCGGATCTTTCGCGCAATTTCACTGGGAAGCCGTAGCTTTTGCAAACATCTGCACAGCCCGTCAGAGCAGCAGGGCTGTGCCTAATGTCTACCTAGGATTAGGGAACCCCCCCCCTATTAGTCTACCCAGCGTTCAGGCCCCAATAACAAAAACTAATTTGAACCATGAATTTCCACAGTCACCACCCTCTAATAAATTTTTTTCTTGGCTGAACCCCCCCCTATTAGTCTACCCCCTGTCCCCCCAGGAGACATATAGTTATTTAAATATATATGTGTGTTTAATTAGTTTTGTTCTTTTTCCCCTTTCAATATTTTCTTGTCTTGCCATGGTGAAACTGATCTTCTGGTTGATTACCAATGCTCTCCCAAAGCAACAGTTTTCCTAGAATTTCCAAAAAACTCTCTAGGAAAACTCTTTCATTTTCCATTATTAAAACTCTATCAAAATCTGCAATTTGAGAAGCTCAGAAAGGGTACCCCCCATACACCCCCTACCCCCCTCTAATAGTGGGGTACCCCCCCTATTAGTCAACCCCATCCATGATGAGCTCTCATGGACCTCATGATGAAAGGGAATTAGTATTTGGGCTCTCATGGATCTCATCATTCCATCCCAGCTCTTCCAAATACTAATTCCCTTTCATTCCAATTCTTCCAAATACTAATTCCCTTTCATCCCAACCCTTCCAAATACTAATTCCCTTTCACTCCAATTCTTCCAAATACTAATTCCCTTTCATTCCAATTCTTCCAAATACTAATTCCCTTTCATCTCAATTCTTCCAAATACTAATTCCCTTTCATTCCAATTCTTCCAAATCAAACTCCCTTTCATCATCAGGTCATCCCCACTATTAGGGGGATGTGATCTCCAAAACCTCCAATCTCAGACCTTGTTGACCTTGTTGACCTTCTAGGCGGGGGGGGCCGTTGATTAATCCGACGATGGCATTACTCAGGTTGCTAGTCTGTGACAGTGGGGGCAGGAATCGGAGAATCCTTTACGCACTGCCAGGGCTGGGCATGGAAATGGGCTTCAGTTCGTTAGTCTGTGACAGATGGGGGCACTTCCGCCCACCGGCGCCGGAGGATTGCCTTGTATTTCTATTCGTCAGTCCGGTAGAAAGGAACACATATGAAAGCGATGACCTTCGATAACTCTTTCGCGGAATAAAAGATGCTTTCGCGAGCCTCATCGCGAATCTTTCGCGGATGGTTCTAACATCTGAAAGCCTATTTTATATAAACTCCTTACACGGGGTTTTCGATCAACTCCCATATGTGAACGAGTGGTCCACAAATAGTACAGTAGATAGAAAGGCTTGAAAGGGATGTAGGCTCGAAACACCCGCCCCGTGGCGTGAGCCGCGCTGCTCGTGGCGTCTTGAGATCATGTGCCACGATGAGCTCTTCACCACAGCGGTCGCCCAAGCGCCAGTCGAACCACTCGAGACCATGCCTGCGGGCCCCAACTGGATGGAGCAGTTGGGCTGGTCTCTAAGCCGGTTAAAATCATATGGCCCAACTGCATCATCACCCTTTATTTTTTAAATCAGAAATCACTAATAATTAAAGGGTGAATCTGGAAGTGCATTATATAATATATTTTGCTCTCGTAGCTGCAATCTTCCTGGAGTGTTCTGGGATGACGATCTTCATGGGAAAGTCCATGTAGACAAAATTGCCGCCCTTTCATCTATAAAACCAGCCCAAATACAAACATCAAACATCATAGTCGCAAGGTCTAGCTGTGTAATGTATATGATTGCTTCCTCGAAACACCGGTGTCAGAACACGATTTGACGTCCTTGGAGTTGCACACCTGGTGATTCTGACAAAACCAAAGCCCTTGAAGTCCGTGGTCCATTTGGGGCACAGTAGCCATATGTGGCATCCTAACATGTCCTAACCATTTGCAACCAGGTCTGCAGGAATGAAGTGTCCAACATGTTCTAAGCACCACTAGGGTACACATCCCTTCCACATGGTTGGTCTTTCCTCCCCTCCCCTCGTGTCCAGCGTGTCCAGCGTGGTCTCCTCAAGCGGTGCGGTCGCTGGATCTCCAACTCTCCAAAGACCAAACCCACCTGACAGGTGTTGAAGACACAGCGGTGTCATGGCCCTCCAAAGAACGTAGGGAAGATCGGAAGAATCTCTTTTTATGTACCCTCATTGAGAGTAGATGGCACAAGGGCTGGTGGTTTAGTAGTGGACCCCCATCTGTCTAGGACATCTTGGGGGAAACGTGCCATCGAACCTCTGAAACCACTGTATGTACCCTGATGAGCTCTTGGTGAGCCCTAGCTCGGTGAAGAAACAACCACGTACCGTGGCAGTCAACAGGGCGGTATTGGCATGGCACGTGACCTTCCCGGAGATGCAATCAGCAAAATCATCGCATACCACCAAACACGTTTTGGGCTAAAACCCGAAGTGGGTGAGGACCTGAAGGGCTGCCACAAGAAACAAACATCCTATCGTCGCCTCCAATGCCGTTGTTCTAGTCTTGCTAAACTGTTACAACAAGCCAAAATCATTGTCAAACCAACACAATCAACGCCCCCCTTGAAGCACACAGGGTTCACCAATGGTGTTGTTGACAAACTTGATGCAAACAAACGCTTATACTATAGCATGCCATAGCCACACAACAAATTTCTTCCAAAACCCATGGTTTCTCCAAACACCATCCAACACAACTTCACGCTTTGATTCATTACACTCATCAAATCTCATCAAGATCTGCCTGCGCAGCAGTTCCAAAGAGGTGCCTATTGGAGAGTAGGGTGTCCATGGGTGTCCATGGACACCACCCAAGTCCAGGAAGTTCCTGATTCACCCTCCTGAGTTCATCCGGTTCTCCTGGTGAGCTCCTGGTTCTCTCCTGTCTCATTTCTCCAGGCCACCGAGTCGTCATCCGAAGCCCACAACTTCCATGGGATCTCGGCCGCCGAGGCCATGGACGAGGCCAGCCACCGTGCCAAGCGGTGGTCGATGACCCACAGACCGCCTGGTGTTCGGGGCGGTGCAAGGTGAAGGACGGACAGGAGGTGCGGCATTCACTGGAATGGTTGATGAATTCACTATGAAGGGCAATGGATGGGCACATGGCCAAGTCAAAGGCTGATGGGCAATGGATTGATCAATGGACTCTGAGTATGAGACCCATGGATGCCCATGGGTTTTCTATGGTTTTCTATGGAATTATGCTTTCTTATCTTTGACGTTGCGTGGTCACACTGGTGGTTCCTATACAGACTCTACATATCGCGTGTCCGGCCAACTCCATGCCATTTGCAGCGCATAAATTGCCTCGAGGTTCTGTCTTTTGAAGGAAGGTCGAGGCAATCAATTCGTCCGAGCGGGGGCTTTCCTCGACCACGCTCGTGGTGTCTTTCGGGCGTGGTGTAGCTTTCGCGATCGGAGCCGTGAATCCCTCGGAGCCGTGCAAAAAAACCCATGGCAAGGGTGCTTTGGACGTTGGTGGCGGCCTCTGATTTAGGTGGCAGGAGCAAGGCTTTCTTCTGGTATCTCGAACTTGTAATTGAAAGTGCTTTTGTTGCGAAGCACGCTGGGAGGGCTGCGCGATGAGAATCTTGATGCGAAGATTTTGTGGCTAGCACAGCCCTTGGCGGACCACCAAGTGCAAATTACCTGACAGCAGCAGAACTTTTTAAACCTCAAAACGCATCCAAATCCAGATTTCTTGTCAAGTGCGGCACTTTTCGGACCCCACTCTGTCACTGCGCACATTTTTGCGGCAACCGCAGCACTTTGTGAATCTCACTGCGCAGATTTTGTTGCAGGCACAAATGTGTGTCCTCTCACGTGTGCGCTCTCTCTCTCTCTCTCTCATACTTGTGCCCTCATGTGGAGCTGCTCACTAGGGTGCTTTTGCATACGTGTGCCCTCTCGGAAGTTTCCTTCTTGACCCTTGCCTTCTTCTACTCAACACCGTTTGGGTTGAACGAACAGGCCGGGAAGTCTATAGCATTTTCCACTGCATTGTCCTTGACTTCCACGGAACTGACGAAGAAGGCCGCCTTTCATGACATCTTCCGGTGTCCGTGCATCTCCTCGTACTCCTCGCCGTCCGTTGGGCGGTGCCCCACAAAGTCGTGGCCGCGATAGGCGTTGCCCAGGTAGAGCCCTTGTCCAGATGGGTGGTCGGCGAGCAAAAGGGCCAAGCGCGGTATATGAACATAGACCTTAGGTTTTGGGAGTGTTTGTGATGGTGTCTCTTGCAAGTCTAGTGAAGTACCTTTGGAAAAGTTAGGTGTTTAACTTGAGGTATATAAATATACATATGTATCCATATGTATCCTGCTTTGCGTGTTTGGCAATGGGGGCCATTGCGTAGGCCACCTCGTTCGCGCAACCACCCTTCGTTCGTCCCCTCTCCCCGACGACCTGCCCTGTGCGACCACCTGTGCTACGCCACGGCACGTCATCGTGCAGTACAGCGAAGTGCTGAGCAAACGGTTGGCGTTCCAAGGCAGCCAGCAGGGCTAGGAAGGTCTTGGCAGCATGGGGCCATCCCCAGTAGACATCCTCCAGCCAAGGCCTTGGTGACCGGTGCGTTTGGTGGCTGCTTGGGTCGATCGACGATGTGTTTTCAGTGGACGTATGCTGTTGACGTCTTTGACTCTAGGGACGTCAAAAGCAGTGTTCTCCGCTGGCTCGTTAGGACTCGAGATCCCTCGTGGCCCAATATGGCCCAATGGCCGGTCAGCAAGATAAGGGTTTGTATGGTCTTGTTATGTCTTGTTAGTAGCGGAGGTGCCACAAAGGTGGGATTGTGTCTGGCGTTTTCGGACATCGGATGCCGCACAGCCTTTTCATCTCGCTGTTCTCAACCAGGTCCCAAAAGTGGTTTCCGGAGCCTGAACCCCCTGCCGCGCAAGTGAGATACCACCTCAAAGCAACCCAAAAGGCCCCAGGAGTGCTTCATGGGTATCTGCGGTCATGAATCAACAAACCTTGGACGTCTTGGGCTTTGCCTTGCCGAGATGCAAAATCAGAAGGTCCCGGAACAGCTCCTGCTCCTCTGCCAGCTGTCGATTGAAGTCCAACAAGCGAGAATTCGTCAAAGCATCCGGCGCACACATGGCAAAGGCATAGGTGATATTCTCGGTACCCGGCCAGGTCAACATTTGCAGCCAGGTCCTCCACGACACTAGCTGTGGCATGACGTTTGGCTGCCGGTTCCCTATGATTCCCTATTCACCAGGGAAGGCGAATCATTCTTTTTCTTAGGGTGCAGTGAATGGCCCACAAACTGTGTGTTTCCACACACTCATCGACTAAACCACACATGCAACCACCTGGTGGAGTGTGGTTTTCCGGACCATGACCGTCCAACATCCCATAGTTGTTGGATAACGCTGTGTACACTGCAGTGAGAGTGAGATTGGTCAAATCCCATGACATCCCACATATCGGTGTGTCATAAAGATATGGAGACCACCAATTCCGGGCCGGCTTGGAAGGACGGCCCGGAAGCTCTTCCGAACCTTCCGCAAAAATCGGAAGACCGGTCTCATCATCTCCCGACAGTGCCAAAACACACACATTCAACATTACACAACCAATTCTCATCATCATCATCATCATCATCACTTCTTCTCCCCTCCTTCGGATCGCCCTCCGCCGCGCGAAGTTCCCCGGCGCCGTCATCACCAGCAGCGCCAGGCCGTGCAGCGAAGCCGCGTCCTCCGCCGCGGCCGCGGCGGTCCACACGGCGCGCGCCGCCGGCGCCGCACGGCGGAAGAACTCGTGGGCCGTGGCGGAAGAAGTCTGGGAAGGTTGGATGGCGAAGTGCTCCTCCAAAAAAGCAGCAGAATTGGTGATACGTGCAGGTGCAAAATCAGAAACATCTAAACGATTCCGAATACTATAGTACTATATGAAAACATGTCCTACATAGTCTATATAGTTATCATCCGCCGACCCTCCGCCACGTGCAAAGGCGAGGCGTGTCTTGTGGAAGGTTGCTTGTAAAGATAGCTTGTAACAGCTTTTGACCTTGTTCTTAGAATGTTCCTTGGCGCGGATGTTTCGTTTCACTGACTTCACCCCCCCCGGTTGTTGTTGATGTTCTTGTTGCTGTTCTTCTTCTTCTTCTTTTTCTTCTTCTTCTTCTTGTTGTTCATACCTAACTACGACTTGGCTCTTACGCTTGCTGCGACCGGCGCACCAGGCCCCTTCGGCCGTGCCAACTGCCCGGGCAGCACGAGCCCGAGCGCAGCGGCGGGGACACCTCCCTGGGCCTCCTGACCGGGACGGACCCGGCTCCTCTGCCGGCAGGGTCTGCGCCAGCAGGTGCGGCGCGTGTCCCAGGGCAGCGAGGTGCTTCTCGAAGTCGGAAACGTCGAAGTCCCTGCAGCAGGTGTCGTAGCTGTGCTCGCCTCACGACCAGTCTCAAGGGGGTGGTTCCTTCCCCCTGCAGGTGAACTCGGCGGGTTGAGGTGTTTCTGTGGAAGAAGCTCGGCGAGAAGCATGAATGGGGCAGGCATGTGTGTGGTGGGTCTTGGGTGTGGCAATGGGCAACCTGCTTCCATTTCTTGGATGTTGGGGTCCCAAGAAGGGAAGGAAGGACATGCGAACTACACGAGTATACTGAGTATACAAACCCATCTTGGTCTGGAGAAAAGCCTTTGTGCCGTCTCCGCTTCAAGTGGAGAAGAGTGTCCAACAAAACTAGGTCACAAGTTTCAACCTCGATGAGCTGCTTCAAGGATGTCATCAGCTTTTTTTTTGTGGTTCCCATGCAGTTCATATCCTTGTGATGCTGGAGGGTCTGTGCGTCGCTTTGCTTGGACAATCCAGCAGCTAGGGAATCAAGCACATCATGCAATCTCTGTCAATCTCTAGGATCCACATACCAGTACATTCTCAGAAGGTACGTCTGGACCATCTTGGACCCTCCTGGTGCCTACATCAAAGTGTCTCTAATCACCCTCTCGAAGGGTATATATATATATGTGGATGTATAGGGAATGATTCTGGATGAACTTCCGAAATTGGTCTCGAGGTGACCACAAGGCGAGCACCGTTGAACGAAGCTACTTTGTCCAGTGGAAGGTGAGTCCACCAGCCAGCCCTCAAAAGCACATCACACGTGGAATCATTTGATACATTCGGTAAATGGTAGGACCATGTAAGGCCATCCCTTCTGTGTGCAGCTTGACCGGATCCTGCCGGCACATCACACCATTTTATACAGTAGCCTTTTCAACCCAGTTCACTCCATCACTCCTGTCAAGCCATCACAACGTTTCGGCCACCTTCTGGCCCGCCCGGGGGCCCCCCCAAGCCTTGCCAACAAGAGGGGTGCCGACCCCAGCAGCAAACATCAGCACCTCGCCAAGAAAGAATCCGGATGAATCTGGTCTGGTGCCCCTTCAAATCATTTTGCACTTGAACAAGAGCGACCTGTGACAATGTCTTCATCTGCCACGACTAGCATGCTTGTCAGCTGGAATGCGAGGCCAAACGGGCTTATAGAGCAAGATTCCAGGTACAGACTTTGCTGGACTGGAGTTGGGCAAGTGTCTTTGGTCTAAGGCAAAACCCCGGAAGCATCCTGAATTCCATGGTGCGTTTGTATTTTTTGGGGGGGCTAATCCGTCTTTGATCATCATGTCATTCTATCATCCGCAAAGGATGGTGACTAACAAACGCAAGACTCACACCAAATGCTCCCAAAAGGAAAGCCACATTCATTGATCAACTTCCTGGAACAAAATGCTGAATCCTCTGGAGTTTCGTACCGTGTTCACCATATTTCCTTCTTTGAGGCAGATTGCTAAAGCCCTCGGACTTCAGCCAAGCATTGTCGAACCATTCGCTGCAGGGCCCACCACGCAAAGCCAGGGCATTCTCCAGCGCAGCCAGGGCGAGCCAACGCATTCGCCGAAAACCAAACTGGCCTGGTTTTGCCAGGAAAATGAGGTACGCACCAGGCACATCAAGTGCATTAAAAACAATCTGATTCATATTGACCCCGAACCAATAGTACGGAAGTGAAGAATCTAGCTGGTTGGAAAACCAAGTTTCTCATAGTTTCTCTACACATTACGATGATTGAATTTGTATGACTTGTATGACTTTGTATACAACGCACACTTCCATGTTCGCTTCAATGCCTTTCATGATGCTTCACAAGGTAGGCTGTAGGCTTGTTAAAGGTTAACGTGTCGTTGTTGGGGTTCATGTCCTGCCCGCCCAGCCTGGTTCTTAGATTTTGTGGTTCCCGTGCAAGCAGCGGGCAGGTCCAACGCTTGAAAGGTTGAAATCCATAAAGCTAAAACATGCTAAAACCCTGGGAGTCCAAGACCATTTAAACAAGGTTAACCTGGTGTTGGAGTGTAAGACTCCTAGTGCAATTTGTCGTTCAGTAAAGGCCAATTTAATATATATACTTACGGACTGGGACTTAGAATGGGTGGTTGTGGATCGCAGAAGGAAAGAAAAACGACCGGATCGAACAGCAAACCCTCAAAACATGCATATGGTGCAGTGGAATGCCTCTCCTGAGGATCAAAAACAAGTAAAAAACCATGCGCATATTGGGTTGACGAAAACATAGATTGTCTCTCTTCATGACTCAACCGTTCATGAAAGCTTAGGATCACTTCCCATTCCAAGTTCCAGTCCGGTATCCTAAGTTGCAGCTCTAAGCTGCTGATTTGCTAAGATTCGATTACGGCAGCAGGCCCAAACCCATTCCAACTCTATAAGGAAAATGGGCGTGGAATTCTTCCCCATTCTTTTTTTCTCAGTCCGCGAGCATATATGCTCATCTAAACAATAAAAAAGTAATGGTTCGAACCCCAGGGACAACACTTGATGTCATGTGATTCTTCCAAAGCAGCCTTACACTCCCCCCTACCCGCTAAACGTTTCGCAGCCACCACGGAACATGGCGGAACCGATCCTGGAACTGCACCGGCCAGATCCGTCTCCAAGTGTTGCCAAGGCAAGTGCCATGGCTTTCCGCTGAAGGAACCGAGAAAGAACTAAAACACCAGCCTCCCCAGAAGGACAATTCACCCAAGATGGAAAAATAACGGCAACACCAAAATGAAATACATTCATTCGTCTTTACTCCACTTTACTCCGCATGTGTCTTGTTTACAGTTCTGTGCATGAAAACGATCCCCCCAAAGGGGACAAACCAACCATTCAACCAACAGTTGCGGTGGAGTAGAAAGGCAATCTCAGTGTCACTGGGCAGTCGAGCCTGGTTTTAAAAAGGCTCAAAATGCAAAAGCAACCATAACCGTGGTGACCACTAGCAAAACAGGACAAACCCAAGCAAACCCCTTTTGAATTCTGTTGTCCTGGCAGCGAAGTTCTTCTAAGCTCCAGCGGTTAGTTTTCTCCACTATGCTTGGCAGGGATTTTATCTGCAGCATGTTTCAGTGACCTGCAGCGATTCCAGGTATCCACTGTGACACATGTGGTGGGCTGGCCTCAACGAACGAACCTGTCAGTCTCGGAGTCTCTGTCTCTTCAGATGCCTCGAGCCGCCCAAATGTTCTGGCACGATCACTGGCGCGGCTTCGCGTCACAAAGTGAGAGAACTTGACAAGCCTTGACACCTCAACAACTATGTGTAGCTATGTGTCAGCTATGTGCAGCTTCAAGTCACAGGTATTCTAGTTGAGCATTCCGAATTAAAACATAGCCGACTGACTGATTGGATATCTGTTGAACCGGAAAACAAGCATCTCAGTATTTCGTCCAGGTCTTGGCACAGAACTGGGTGGGATGAACACCTTCCGAATCTTCCTAATCCGGAAGGACCATCAGAAGGTCTGGAAGGACCAAAGGGGCTGCCCGGTACGTTTCGAGACGACAAGCATGAAACAACTGAGGGACACGGATGGCCCTCCACACGTCGGGTCCGAAATCGACTCGGCCCCGGACGGTTGCAAGCTGTATCTTCCAGTGGATCCCCACCTGCGCCCAAAGGACAATTCGCATGCATGAAGAGTGTTTCACCTTGAACATGTTTCTTCGGTATTCTTCGGTTTTTTCTCGGGGCATGGAAGTCAAAAGCGGGCCACTCAGCTGAGGTGTTGGGGGTGTTTGGGAACAAGCACGGAACAAGCTGGCTACCCCATCGAACATGCTTGTACATCTTTTACAAAGGTGTGTTCGGGGTGCAGTTGATGAGGGTATGAAAAGCGTCCCATTGGCCCATGGTCCTTGGTATCTGTATGTGCTGGCCCTCTTGGGGGGCAGGGGCTAGGAATGACGGTCTCACAGCAAATGGCACAATCCCCCAAAGAAGGTTTCGGTTAGTATAGTTACTATACATCTTGGGTACTATCTTGGGTATACTATATAAGTATACATATCCCAAAAACGTGGTATACTAAGTATACAGTATACATCTTGGCACCAGCACCACCCATTTCGGGTTCCTTCTTGGAAGATCGATCGTCCCAGGGGTACTGTATACACCACTCTTTGGGTGCTGCGGCCTGGAACTATCGCACTTGAACACACCCAAAACCAAGCCATTTGGGAGTGGTGCTGGCGCTTCCGAATCAATGGAAACCCCTTCATTTCCAACCACTAAGCACCCCCCAAAAAAAAACAAGAAGCACCTCCCACACATTTGCATCAGCAAGAAGCAGAAGAGCTCCAATCATACTGCCTTCAAACGTCCGACTCCGCGGAAGCGGAGAGTCGTCTGGGCTTCCGAGCCAAAGGCGTCCAGATGGCTCGTCCCAGTGCAAGCGAAAGGGCCTCAGCGCTTCTCGGCGGATGGAAGCGACACATGCCCAGGCTCGTGGTGTTCAAGGGGCTTGACATGAAGGTTCCACCCCCAAAAATCTCCACGAAAAGGACCCCCAAAGGCACAAAACGATCAACCACCAGAACCTTCCCACGGACCGGAGTGGGTGACCTTTGACCGGCAACCAGTGGCCTCAAACCAGTGTAAGGAATTTACAAAGAGAGACCGCGCCTACTTGGCGCGAGATGTTTGCACACCGCGCGATGTTTTGGTGGGCCCATGCATGTTGTTCCAGGTCTGATCTCCAGCAAATTTGCTGCATGCCCATCTGCTGGTCCACGTGCAACGGGATGCCCACTTGGATAGGAATCTCCTAAAACCTAGAATGCTTTATACCAGGAGTACTACCAGGAGTTGGGCGGTTTGGTTCGTCCCATCCAGTGAGTGGATGATGACCACCCCTAACCTCCATGGATAGCACCCATTAGCACCCCTTTGCGACTGCTACATAACTGCTTCTATTTTCCAAAGCCCAAGCAGTTCCTCCAAGCTCAGCTCGCATCGGTTCCTCCCGGCTTCTCGCCGGCCCTGCCCAGCGTCCTTGGCTGCCTGGCTTTGCTTCAAAGCCGCCCTGCCAGGGCAGCGGCGGCACCGACCAGCTCGTATACCAAGCAGCCAACAGGTGTCCAGATTTTACACCTCCATATACCTCCATATCAAGAGGTGTTGCAATCCAAAATTGAATTTTTATCAAGAGTCTACCTAGACCTACCTGCTGCCCGAAACAATGGGCCGTGAAAATGGACCCTTGTAAGATCTCGTAAGACTAGCGCCATCTACCACCCAGTGAATTTCAGAGTCCATGTTCTTCAACAGGTGGGTACATCTCATGCTGAGGCATCCCGCCTTGAAGCTTGGCACTTTGGGTTGTGATGAGCCGAATACCTTTGACCAAACGCCTTCGATGGTGTTCGTTGAAAAAGACAACACATCCACAAAAACGGCTCCAAAGACTTGGACCTCGTGGGACCCGTGGGTCAAACCCCGGAAACCCATGGAAACCCTGGGTTGACCACAGAAAAACCTGAACAGAATAGACTACTACTAGAGACTAAAGAGGTCAACCTAGTCTGGGTGAAACCGGCGTCTGAACCACAGCCACGTCTGCTTGAAGCGTTGGGTCTCAGGAGTCGCCAGGGATCTTCCTCTCCTAGCCTATTGAGCTAATCAGGCTCCTGGGTCTGTCTCACCCTCCCCACCCTGCAACTCCAGGACTTCCCACGCAGCTCAGTCGAGCTCCGCGTCCTTCGTTCTGCACCGACCGATCGACGCCGAATCGACGACGACGTGGGGACCGAGCGCCGCGATGCGCCGCGCGTCCGGAACACCCGCGACATCCGGTCCCGAAGAGCCCAGACACGACCCGTTCTGGGACTGCCATCGGACTGCCGAGAAACGGCCGAGGGGTGGTTGACGATTCAATGGGGCGGCATGGCGGTGCCATGGAGTGTCTGGGTAGTACTAGAGTCACTATATAGGGGTTTGATACTCGAACGCCAGGTCAATGATCTTTCAAAGCTGCTCGAGCACTCCCAGAGGATTCACCAACCTCAAGCGACATCAACAAGCATGACGTCGCAACCACCACCTGTTCTCTTCCCACCCAATGTCACCTCCATTTCGATCCCTCACCTTGAAGCGCATCACATCCATCCCTCGAACCAGATACGATTCGGTCTCATCCTGGCACGCGAGACGGTCGTGACCGTCTCCTCCGGGTCTCTCGGGTCTCGAAGCGGCTCACCATCCGAGCACGATCCGAGTATATAGATCCAATGAATGAACGCACACACACACACAAAAAAAGGGTGATCTAGGGTTGAAACAAAGGCATACAAAAGGCACAAACATGCACAAACTATCATCACACACCACAGAAGCCAGCAAAACCGTGGGCAAATTGAGGGTGGAATCGGAATGGACGTATGTGAGTGTATGATACATCATGGTACTATGTATGATGCCATGCTCCAAAAAAGATCTCAAAAAAAAAGAGGTCGGTCGGCCGGAGCTTTCTGAACTTTTCTTCATCGAGACCGAGACGATCGTCACGAGACGATCGTCACACGTGCATCTCGACCAATTGAAGGTTCCAAGAAGGACCCTGTCTCCGTGTGAAGACCACGGCAGGGGTCGTGGTCTTCACTCACCGGGCGGCGGCTCGTAGCTACCGGAGGCCGGCCACAGAGGCCCTTTCGCACCGTGGTCTTTCCGATCCAAACGTCACACGACGCAACACCAGCACACGACACGAAACGAACACACGCAAAACTCCACGTAAGACGTCGAATCGACGCCTGATTCCTTATTAATGCATGAACTGAACCCTGCAATATTCTCCAACCCTCATGAGACACGGTGTGATGCAGAGATCCTCCAGGATCCAGATTAGGCAATCGTGCAGCAGAAGTTCGAACGAGAATGCAGTCAAAACACAAACACGGAACATCGTGAATTGACCCACACTACTATCCCATCTTGCTGTCTAGCTCTTACAGGTCAGCAGCAAAATGCCTGGTCCCTCTTCTACTCCCCGAGGAGAGAACATTGTTGAAAGTTGATTCCAAAGCATACAAACAAACAAACACACACAAACACATCAGGTTGCTAAACTTGTTGGTGGGCGGTGGTTAGACCTAAACACATGATAAACCATGTTTGTTATTGGGGTGACTCATCTCAGGTCAAGGGTTGAGAGCATCATCCCAAGTTTCGCACAGAATCAGAAGAGTTCGATTGAGACCCAGTCAGACCACCCACACTGAGGAGTTCCAAGCCGAAGTCCACTCACTGGGCATTCCGAACCCTTCTGAACTCACTGGACGGCACCCTTTGGGCAGAACTCCAACCGACTCCCTCAGTTTTGCTGGCGGTTGAGCACACGTTCCACCTGCTTAGTGGGATGTTCCTTATCCCTCCAAAAGGTTCGAGTTGATTCACTCGTCCTGGATATTCCTGGATAGGCCATGTTGAACTGTTGAACATGCCCAAACCAAGTATATAGAACTCCAAGCTTGCCAGTGGCACCACATAATTTCTCCAACACCCCTGAAGCTCGGCCATGATCGCCTGGCGGATGTGAGGAAGAGCGTGACCCACCCGGATTGCTGGGCCTGTCGAACGATCTAGTTTTTTTTGAGTCGAAGATCCTGTAAAACCATGGCCCTACGGGATTGGAATCCTATACGAACATCCCGGAATCGCAAACGACGCAACGGGATGGT